AGATTCATGACACCTAGATCTCAATATAAAATGATCACATACCAAAGTAGATTCATGACACCTAGATCTCAATATAAAATGATCACATACCAAAAGTAGATTCATGACACCTAGATCTCAATATAAAATGATCACATACCAAAATAGATTCATGACACCTAGATCTCAATATAAAATGATCACATACCAAAAGTTCATGACACAGATCTCAATGATTCATGACACCTAGATCTCAATATAAAATGATCACATACCAAAGTAGATTCATGACACCTAGATCTCAATATAAAGTGATCACATACCAAAGTAGATTCAACACCTGATCTCAATATAAAATGATCACATACCAAAGATTCATGACACCTAGATCTCAATATAAAATGATCACATACCAAAAGTAGATTCATGACACCTAGATCTCAATATAAAATGATCACATAAAGTGATCACAAAAAATAGATTCATGACACCTAGATCTCAATATAAAATGATCACATACCAAAGTAGATTCATGACACCTAGATCTCAATATAAAATGATCACATACCAAAGTAGATTCATGACACCTAGATCTCAATATAAAATGATCACATACCAAAGTAGATTCATGACACCTAGATCTCAATATAAAATGATCACATACCAAAGTAGATTCATGACACCTAGATCTCAATATAAAATGATCACATACCAAAGTAGATTCATGACACCTAGATCTCAATATAAAATGATCACATACCAAAGTAGATTCATCTCTCAATATAAAATGATCAACCAAAGTAGATTCATGACACCTCTCAATATAAAATGATCACATACCAAAAATTCAGATTCTCAATATAAAATGACACCTAGATTCTCAATATAAAATGATCACATACCAAAGTAGATTCATGACACCTAGATCTCAATATAAAAATGATCACATACCAAAGTAGATTCATGACACCTAGATCTCAATATAAAATGATCACATACCAAAGTAGATTAATGACACCTAGATCTCAAATAAAAGTGATCACATACCAAAGTAGATTCATGACACCTAGATCTCAATATAAAATGATCACATACCAAAGTAGATTCATCACCTATGATCATACCAAAGTAGATTCATGACACCTAGATCTCAATATAAAAATGATCACATACCAAAATAGATTCATGACACCTAGATCTCAATATAAAAATGATCACATACCAAAGTAGATTAATGACACCTAGATCTCAATATAAAATGATCCTAGATTCTCAAATATAAAATGATCACATACCAAGTAGATTCATGACACCTAGATCTCAATATAAAATGATCTCAATATTCATGAAAATCTCAATATAAAATGATCACATACCAAAGTAGATTCATGACACCTAGATCTCAATATAAAGTGATCACATACCAAAGTAGATTCATGACACCTAGATCTCAATATAAAATGATCACATACCAAAGTAGATTCATGACACCTAGATCTCAATATAAAGATTCATGACACCTAGATCTCAATATAAAATGATCACATACCAAAGTAGATTCATGACATAGATCTCAATATAAAATGATCACATACCAAAAGATTCATGACACCTAGATCTCAATATAAAATGATCACATACCAAAGTAGATTCATGACACCTAGATCTCAATATAAAATGATCACATACCAAAATAGATTCATGACACCTAGATCTCAATATAAAATGATCACATACCAAAATAGATTCATGACACCTAGATCTCAATAGATCTCAATATAAAATGATCACATACCAAAGTAGATTCATGACACCTAGATCTCAATATAAAATGATCACATACCAAAAAATAGATTCATGACACCTAGATCTCAATATAAAATGATCACATACCAAAATAGATTCATGACACCTAGATCTCAATATAAAATGATCACATACCAAAAGTTCAGATTCTCAATGATCACCTAGATTCTCAATATAAAATGATCACATACCAAAATAGATTCATGACACCTAGATCTCAATATAAAATGATCACATACCAAAAGTAGATTCATGACACCTAGATCTCAATATAAATGATCACATACCAAAGTAGATTCATGACACCTAGATCTCAATATAAAATGATCACATACCAAAGTAAAACCTAGATCTCAATATAAAATGATCACATACCAAAATAGATTCATGACACCTAGATCTCAATATAAAATGATCACATACCAAAGTAGATTCATGACACCTAGATCTCAATATAAAATGAAGTAAAGTAGATTCATGACACCTAGATCTCAATATAAAATGATCACATACCAAAATAGATTCATGACACCTAGATCTCAATATAAAATGATCACATACAAAAATATTAAAATGATCTCAATATAAAATGATCACATACCAAAGTAGATTCATGATTCTCAATATAAAATGACATACCTAGATTCTCAATATATAAAATGATCACATACCAAAGTAGATTCATGACACCTAGATCTCAATATAAAATGATCACATACCAAAGTAGATTCAATGACACCTAGATCTCAATATAAAATGATCACATACCAATAAAGTAGATTCATGACACCTAGATCTCAATATAAAATGATCACATACCAAAAATAGATTCCCTAATCTCAATATAAAATGATCACATACCAAAGTAGATTCATGACACCTAGATCTCAATATAAAATGATCACATACCAAAGTAGATTCATGACACCTAGATCTCAATATAAAATGATCACATACCAAAGTAGATTCATGACACCTAGATCTCAATATAAAGATCACATACCAAAGTAGATTCATGACACCTAGATCTCAATATAAAATGATCACATACCAAAGTAGATTCTCAATGACACCTAGATCTCAATATATAAAAATGATCACATACCAAAGTAGATTCATGACACCTAGATCTCAATATAAAATGATCACATACCAAAGTAGATTCATGACACCTAGATCTCAATATAAAATGATCACATACCAAAGTAGATTCATGACACCTACCAAATAAAATGATCAGATTCATGACACCTAGATCTCAATATAAAATGATCATGACATACCAAATAAAATGATCACATACCAAAGTAGATTCATGACACCTAGATCTCAATATAAAATGATCACATACCAAAGTAGATTCATGACACCTAGATCTCAATATAAAATGATCACATACCAAAATAGATTCATGACACCTAGATCTCAATATAAAATGATCACATACCAAAGTAGATTCATGACACCTAGATCTCAATATAAAATGATCACATACCAAAGTAGATTCATGACACCTAGATCTCAATATAAAATGATCACATACCAAAATAGATTCATGACACCTAGATCTCAATATAAAATGATCAAAGTATACCAAAAGTTAAAGAGATTCTAGATTCTCAATATAAAAAATGATCACATACCAAAGTAGATTCATGACACCTAGATCTCAATATAAAATGATCAATACCAAAGTGATTCACATACTCAAATACCAAAGTAGATTCATGACACCTAGATCTCAATATAAAATGATCACATACCAAATAAATGACACCTAGATTCAATATAAAATGATCACATACTAGATTCTCAAGATCTCAATAAAATGATCACATACCAATTCATGTAGATTCAATATGACACCTAGATCTCAATATAAAATGATCACATACCAAAGTAGATTCATGACACCTAGATCTCAATATAAAATGATCACATAAGATTCATGACACCTAGATCTCAATATAAAATGATCACATACCAAAATAGATTCATGACACCTAGATCTCAATATAAAATGATCACATACCAAAGTAGATTCATGACACCTAGATCTCAATATAAAATGATCACATACCAAAGTAGATTAATGACACCTAGATCTCAATATAAAATGATCACATACCAAAATAGATTCATGACACCTAGATCTCAATATAAAATGATCACATACCAAAGTAGATTCATGACACCTAGATCTCAATATAAAATGATCACATACCAAAAGTAGATTCATGACACCTAGATCTCAATATAAAATGATCACATACCAAAGTAGATTCATGACACCTAGATCTCAATATAAAATGATCCACATACCAAAGTAGATTCATGACACCTAGATCTCAATATAAAATGATCACATACCAAAGTAGATTCATGACACCTAGATCTCAATATAAAATGATCACATACCAAAGTAGATTCATGACACCTAGATCTCAATATAAAATGATCACATACCAAAGTAGATTAATGAAACCTAGATCTCAATATAAAGTGATCACATACCAAAGTAGATTCATGACACCTAGATCTCAATATAAAATGATCACATACCAAAGTAGATTCATGACACCTAGATCTCAATATAAATGATCACATACCAAAGTAGATTCATTCAATGATCACATACCAAAGATTCTCTCAATATAAAATGATCACATACCAAAAGTAGATTCATGACACCTAGATCTCAATATAAAATGATCACATACCAAAGTAGATTCATGACACCTAGATCTCAATATAAAATGATCACATACCAAAGTAGATTCATAACACCTAGATCTCAATATAAAATGATCACATACCAAAGTAGATTCATAACACCTAGATCTCAATATAAAATGATCACATAACATTTTTGTTATTTTGTGAATTTTTGTTACTCAATGAACCATCCATTTCAATTTTCATAAAATGTTTTCTGAAATGTGCCGATGAGTCAACACTTCCATTATTAATTTTAATTACGATATTCGATGTCAACTGAATGTAAAATATTTTTTATTAAAGACTAGAATCGTAGATAAAAAATACTTTCCTTTCTGATTTTTCTTTAGCAATATGAGGATTTAGTTTTTTTTTCTTCCTGTTCAAGAATACCTACTATAGATATTTATTAGAGTTAGCTTTCGTACATGGCCAAAATGGTGGTGTAGAAAGATCGTGTTGCCTCAGTCTTTTCAAGAGAATAGCATGTGTGTGTAATGTCACAGATGTCGGTGCAAAGTCGGTATGTTTCGAAAACCTTCTTTTTCTTCTTCTTCTTCTTCTTCTTCTTCTTCTTCTTCTTCTTCTTCTTCTTCATAACTCACGATAATTCTTCTTCTTCTTCTCTGAAGTGAGTGTAAATTAAAGAAAAACTGTAAAATAACGCATTTCATCATTTAACCGTAAGTTCTATGCTAATAGTTTCTTCTCTCGCACTTCTCTCTTGTGGAACTATCTTCTGGCTTCTTGCTTTCCATTCAAGGTATGAATCTGAATGTTCTGAAGGGGTATGGCATAAAAAAGAGATCTGGATATTTTGAAAATCCACATTTTAAATACTGGTTTTCATTTAGGCTTTTATTGGTGATTCAAAACACTGGCGACACAATCAAATATGAAAGGGCTTCAAACCATTCTCCCTTAAATTCCATGCGTGATGCCCGCCTGGAGGATCATGTCTTTTCGATTCATAATTGACTTGGCAGAAGAATTTCTCTAGTACACTGCCGTTACTTTCTGCAGTAGACTGGTTGCCAACCAAGGCAACAGGGTCCAAACTGTCTTGCTATTTAACCTATAGCTGTGGTTAAACATTAAGCAAGCCACAAATTTTGAGCGTGTGCAAGTAAACTATATTTATAATTAGTCTGAATGATGGGGAGGCTCTAAAACTGTCCGTATTTTATGCCTAAAATCCTTTAAATTAGCAATTTCTATTTCTCTTTTCTATTCCTACCCTCTATTTCAATCCAATTGCTCAGTGGCTGGAATGGTAACATTTTCCTTCGGCACCAGTTCGTTAATGCTTACGACAATGCTAGTTTTCCAATATTGATTTTCAAAGCTAAAATTTTTAAAAGTAGACTCTTACACTGTCGATGAAATTTCTACGTACTTATGGGCCTACTGCTGCTACTGTTGCTACAACCCTTGTCAGGAGAGTTGTGTGCTTGTAAAATCTACTGTTCGACATCACTCCCAGCGCCTGAAGCAAAAAGAGAAAGAAAAAACACCAAACCTTGCGATTGTGTTTATTTGCATTACACTATGATAGACAAGTAAGTAACCCCCCCTCTCTCTCTCTCTCTCTCTCTCTCTCTCTCTCTCTCTCACGCATATATTCTTACTCGCTCACTCACTCACTCACAAGTCTGAAAGTCCTTTACCATCTTTTCTTTCTTTTTCACTCTTTTTACTCATTTCTTTCTCTCTCACTCTGTGCTTTTTACACAACTTACTCCTCCTCTTTTTCTCACGCTTATTCTCTCAATATATCTGCAATCTTTCTTTCTTTTCCATGGCGTCCATTAATCACCGTTTCCAACCACATTCTGCGATATTTTTTTTCTTATGACTCTACAGAAATGCTACCCCCCACCCCACATACACACCGTTTTTTATTCATTCCACCTTACAAACTACGCAACAGACAAAATTTTTCCTACCGTCTGGTCTATCCAGGACCCCAAAATATTATTTTTTAATTCAATCTCTAACTTTTATGTTAAACCTTCAGGAATGTTCTTCTTCCCTTCCATTCGCGTTTCTTCCTTTTCAGAATTTTTTTGAGTTTTCTTTTTTTATTTCTTCCTATCATTGTTCTTTCTTTCATTTTTCAAACCATTCATTTGCATCCGTTTAACTACTTTTCATTCCTTTCATTCATTGCTTCATGAATTCTTTTCTTCTTTCTCAGTTTTTCTTCTTTCTTTGATTTTCTTTTTTTTTTTCTTCTTCTTCTTTTATTAAAACTATTTTAACACAAACACAAACGTCGTCGTCATCATCAGTAACGAGGCCTGATTAAATGTCACCGTAATTTCTAAGTAAATCTTTTACAAACAATATTATGAAGCCCGTCGCCAGTGCTTTGAGGGAGGGGTGCCGTTAAGTCATGGACGCAAGTAAGAATTTGCACACTAGAAATAGTTTAACTCATTTACACAGAGTTGCAATTCAAATGATTTAATATTCATAGAATATTCCGTTAACTCTATTCGTTTAACAATGATTAAAGTTATGACAAAGTTACAAGTAAAAAAGAAAATGTAAAAAATTACAAGTGAAAAGAATGACTAATTTACAAGTAAAAATTGCAGAACTACAGCCATGTTAAATACAATCTAACGAAATTTAAAACCATTATGAACTGTGTATTTTGGGTTTTTTTTTTTAATTAATTCTTTATCTTCTCGCCTTGAATCTAAAAAAGAATTTAAAAATATAAAAAAATATTTCTAAAAATTGTATTTTTAATACACTGACTTCATAGAATAAGCTACAATGGTTCTGTGAAGAAGAAATATATAAACATTTTTTATTGATTCATTCATTTTCTACGGTTTACCAACCCTTTGTAGATTATTTAAATCCAAAGAATATTTTTATGTTGTAAGACTTTTTCTTTTTAGATAATAATGGTTTCACTAATACAAATCTTACTAATTAACCCATAGTTGGTGGGAAAAGTGGTGGATTCATACCTTTACTAATGGTATTTACACATAAGTGACTATAATGAACCTAATGGGAATTGAAACTCGGCTTTTCGAGCCATTAGCCATTAGCCATTAAACCACGCGCACATCGAAACTTACAGCACCCAGTATTCTCAAACGGTCACCCATCTAAGTACTCACCAGGCTCGACGTTGCTTAACATCCGTGCTCGTACGGGAACCACTGTTTCAACGGGATGTGGCCGTAAGGCACAAAACTGATTTAAAACTAAAACTAAATTGCTTGATATCCTAATTACGCCTGTATACCTTTTTATTTTAAAATACTAAAAAATTGAAAACAATTGCTTGCATGACTTACACATCGGTACTTTTTTTTTTACCTACATTAAATTCTCAATTTAAATTTTTCTTTGCGAACATCCTTTTTTCACGATTTAATTAAATGGAAAAGAACCTTAAGCCATATTACTTCCTAAATTAAAAAGTTTAATGAACTTGGAATTTTGCAGAAGGCGCGTTTGGCAATAAGGAACCTTTTTGTTTTCATTACTGGATCGACAAGCATTTAACAGTAACAGTGAATCGAGGCAGATTCAACAGTTAACTATGTTCTGAATATTATGGTATCCTGTTGGGTCTCCACTTATGAATAAGGAAAGAGCCCAAAGCCATTTACACAAGTAGAAGCAAACAAGAATATAATTATAGGCATTTTAATACCAGTAGCATCTGGTGGTTCTCGCTACAAACTAAGTGATATTATTTCTTCTTTGCAATTGTTTTCTCCCACCCTGTCTACCCGTTATTCACAGCCCACTATCCACTTTCCTCTTCGTCCTCTCTCTCTCTTCCTTATTCCTACACTCCGCCTCTAAGTGTATTTTCCGGTGTGAACACTGTCCGTCCCACAATTCTTTGCAACCATTATTTGTTTATTCCTTTAGTTATTCTTTCTTTGTGACCACGACCATCAGAGAGCAGAAGACACTATCTTTCGACCTCTCCCTACCGGACAATTATATTTCCGCCCATTTAACCAATGTAATCACTGACTGTACATGTTTTCTTTTTTTTTTTTTTTCTTTTTTTTTTTACGCTTTTTGTCTTTTTTTTTTTTTCATTTTTCTTCCGTTCATTGTTATTCTTATTTTTTTTCCTTCATATTTTCTTTTCTTTCAGACTTGTGCTTAGCTTACTTTTTTCTCTACCACATTTTTTTTGTTTTTTATTATCCAATACTTTTAAACTTTTTTATCCCCTTCTTCTTCTTCTTCTTCTTCTTCTTTCTCTCTTTCGTTTTCCTTTTTTTCTTCCTTTTTATTGTTTTATCGTGCTTTTCTCTTTTCCTTTTATTGTTCTCTTCTTTTGTTTTTATTCTTTCTTTTTCATTCCTTTTTTTACTGATCTCTCTTTTTTTGTCTTTTCCTTATTTTTTCTTTCTACTTTTCTCTCCTTTTTAGACTTTCATTCTTCTTGTGTTTTTCTTTCTTTTTTCTTTCTAATATTTATTTTTTCTTCGTTTTCAAATTTGTTACCTTTTTCTTTGTCTTAGATTTATTTAACACATTTCGTTCAACGATATAAAAGAAATAAAAATGTAGTAAAATCAAAAGGGTTTGTCATGTGGCTGAGATAGTTGGTTATTCTCTGCTTCATCATGGCACTAGTCGACGTTAAGGCGAAATATTTATTTATATTTCTTTTTTATTCAATGTCCCTCCTCCATTGGAAGATCAGCACAACACAATATTCCTACTCTATTTCAGCTTATGACCTTAAGCTTAATAATTATCTAAACCAACCGTAGGCATAACTTTGTTCATGACAGTAAAGAAGACCTGCCCACCCCTTGGTAATGAGTGGGTGATATCGTCTCACTATGCCAGTGGTTGAAGGAAATATGTCGAAGCCGGTGGTGCTAACGAGAGATAACGCTTACATCCTGCTACTTCTTGTATCAGGCAAGGCTGCCAAAACAGCAACCACCAACCCACGCTATCAACACAGAGAGAATGCCAGAGTGCTAATCTTCCAACTTTGCCGGTGCCTCTCCACAACCCATCAGACGAGTCAGCCTACACTTGTCTCTCTTTTGTCTCCGTTTTCTTCCGACAGACGGTCATGAGGGACTACTCCAAATTTGTTCCTTCTCCGTCTAACACACGATATAAATAGAAACTCAGAGAAAGAAAAAGAGGGAGAATAAGCGAATGAGAAAGAAAAGAGGAAGTGTGTTTATGGAGAAAGTAAAGTGGTGACAGTTTGCTAATATAAATAGATGTCTACGTCATTGTTACGTCATCACAGAAATATTTTTTTTTTTAAATCACAAAATATAACATCGAAGTAGGCGGGGAGAGTTCGAAAAGGGGAAAAATAATGTTCAATAATTATTGTTTACTCTGCTTATCTTGGATATAATGACACAAGTAAGAATGGCGCCGGTAAAAATGCCACAAGTGGAAAAATAGGGAAAAAATGGCATCGGTAATGCGCCGAAGGTTTACTGCTGGAATGTCTTGCTGGTAGTTCTGTCTTCTTCTCTGAGCATATGTACCAGTAATAAAGGTTTGGTCGGAGTACTTTAGCAGGGGAACAACCTCATCAGGACATCTAGCCTGAAGTAACCGAACAACAACTGTCCTCTGATTAGAAATTTAACTTTAGATAGATTAAAATTAAACAGTTACTGGTGTTTAATTTTGAGTTGTTTTAAAAGAGTCTGTTTTACACCTGTGCCATTTTTTTCCTATTTTTTTCACTTGTGCCATTTTTACCTGTGCCATTATTACCGTTCACCGTATGAGGCACACGTTAATGATACGACTCCCTTTTTTAAATGCCATTTTCCTTCTGGAGGTAGGCGACTACGTCTCTTTACGGGCTCCTTTTCTTGAAGATCTGTGAATTGTCATGCTTTCTTGGGAAATATAATAGAATGGTTTGTCTTCTCTAAGGTTTGAAATTGTGAGTTGTCCTTCCCTTAGACATGTTGATATCCAAGGCTACAAAACCAAATCTATTTAGCCGATGGTTGGAAGGGTGACGAGATAATCCATATTTTGCTGAATAGCATTTTCTGTGAAAGTGAACGCAACAGGCGAATCCGAAATTTGAACTCGGCTCGCCAATTTTACTTTTTGTATCGATAACTGTTCTACCCACCCGCAGATACATGGAGCACATTCCCCAGATCCCACGTTGAGACGCGCTTGTAACAATGGTTGAATTGATGATTAAAAAGAAAACAGTTGTAGCTAGGAGCATTTGGATGGACAATTTGAGGAGAATATAAAAGAAAATATGGGATTGAGAATGCGCGGTGTTAATCGAAGTAATTAAAACATAAATTATAAATAGAAGAGAGTAAAAGAGTTAAAAAAAAAAACAGAAGGGAAAGAAAAAATGAAGATGACGAAAAAGAATAGAAAATGAAACGAAAGAGAAACAGAAAGAAAAAGAAACAAAAGAAAAATGGAGAAAAGTAAACAATAAAATCTAAAATGGAAACAAAAGAGGCCACTCGAAATGGTATGGAGTGTGTGATGTACTGGGGTCGTTGAGTGGGTTTATCACTCCAGGCAGGTTTCATAGTCTTTCATAACTAAGTTATGTTTTTGTTCATTGTCTGCTTTATAAATGAATACTTTTTTCGTGTATGTTTAGTGAGCACAGATTTTACTCTCGGTGGATCGCAAAGTTGGCGCGTTAACCAATGTACGACTATTTCAAATAGAGACTTTTTTTTACATAGATTTTCATTTCTTGGTGTCGTTCGAACTTTTAGTCTCGAAAAACCAAACCAGTTACATTCTATCATAGACAATCGAACTCTGAACTACAACCAGTCATGATGAATAGATGACTCCTCGGGGAGGCCCCGTGCCTTGAGCGACGATTGGGCCTCAAACTCAACCTGGACCTCAAGTGGAACATGCGCAGGACAAATAGTAGGTTCCCGGTACCCTTCCAGTAAATACCTATCTCTTCGTGTTATCCACTACCTTTACAAGAGTCAAATCAGGCCGAAAATGGAATAATGTTGTCATATTTGGACAGAAGTCCTAAAGCGTCCCCGCCTCCTTGTTGGTGACAAATTATAGTCCCCCTTGTAACCCCCTCTCTCACAGATGATATGTTGCAAGCCTCTCACTCCTCTATCACTACTTCCTTTGAAAGTGCTCAGACGAACTATATTCCTTAGTTCCACCATTTCTAACCTTCATGGCTAGGAGCTGCCATGCATTGTAGGGAACCATTTTCATTCCCTCCTGCATTCTGGTGGGTGAGAGGTTAGTTCCACTCGAACAGCTTCTTCCCGCGAACCACTGCTCTGTGAAACTAAGAGGAGGTTTTCTCGATCACTACAATTCTAACCTATCCAAGTCTAGGGTTAAAACTCCATATATCCGCATAAAACTGTTCTTCTTACTCTGTAACCTTCTACATCGGGTGCTTCCCGTGCCTTGTAAAGAGTGAACCACACTAAAAAAAAAAAAAAATTCGCGATAGGTAAACTAAGTAATGGATGACTACACAAAATAGAATATGAATTGAGTCAATATATTTAAATCCGGGAGAGCAAGTCACGATGCCTTCTTGGCCACACGTCATGAAGTGGAAAGATCTATTGTTAAGTCTGTTGCCAGGGACTTCGGTTCAAGATATCGTGCTAGACAATTTTTCTCTCTAGGATCTTAAATACTTATAAATCCATGCCGTGAATATTTCTGACACATCTGGTCTGGTGCTTCTACTATATATCTAGATATTCTTGACGAAATCTAAAGTAGAATCTGCAACATTATCAGTCCTGATCTAGTATCTCGGTCTCAGTCAATTTCCCACCCCCGTAATGTAGGTTCCCTGTGCGTTTTCTATATCTTCATGGTAATTGTTCTGATGAACTTTCCTTTATCTTACTTAGCCTTTATGAATTTAAGCGCAGTACTAGATTGACGGTTTTACAGTTGAAAAGGATAAATGTAATATTTCGCTTGTGAACCCAATTTTGACTTCTTGGTTCCTAGTCGACATTGATCTTCAAAAATTGAAATGCAAAGTCAATCGTTATCGTCTGTCTTCTTAATTTTTGTTGTTTTATTGTCCTCGCTCCTTTATAGTGTTTTTCTTTTTCTCATATTCTTTTACACTCAATAACCCTTAGTGTCTTAGTGCCTATATTGCCTTGCCTGGGGAGAAATGTTTTAAAAAAGGCTTTAAAAGTCATTAAAACGCCGAAAATGTAGACAAAAAGACAGAGAAAATTTCCCAAGAAATGAGAAACACTTTTGATTTTTACCAATTCCATAGAGATGATAAAAAAAAATGACAAAGTGTGCATCCAATTCGCCAAGAAAGCTGAGTCAGCTGTTCATCACTTTTCGCCCATTAATGTCCACCACTCCGTTTTGATGACAGTGAGCACTCATGGGTTATACGTGGAAACCTATTATTAATTATTATTAATAAGGGATGTTTTTATAACCTATAATTAATACAGGATTCTTATTTCCATTTTTAAGGTTGTCATTAATAGCTTAATCAAAGCTGAACTTTGCCGAAATTAGAATCGCGTCAGTTCTACTTCTCTAAATAGGAAATAGTGGTTTTATCTGATGATACACAGTTACTTTCAATGCTATTCTTAACTTTTTTGAACCCGGATGTTTGGCCATGATCTGCCAGATGTAGAATCGTCATCTGGATCAACTGGTCATTTGTTAACTCGAAAACCCCTATAATACTGGCCATAGCTGATACAAAAATCACACTATGGTTACTGAATTGTTTTTGTTTTGTTTTTGTTTGTTTGTTTTTCATTGTTAATCTTGAACTGTTACGGTTTCTACAAAATCAACAACAGAATTCATTAAGTGTAAACCTCCCATTTAATTCCCTATTTTTTTCTGCTTACCATTTTACAACCATTCTAAAAGCAACTGTCAACAAATGGCGTTAGAAAGGGGCCTTAGAAATGGCTAAAATATAATACTCCAAACTCTTATTCAATAATTCCGGAAAAGTGGACAGCCAATTGGCGGCGATCCTGCACGTGTTATGCGACAAAGGTCAAAGACATATCAAAACAAAAACGCAGCAGACCAAACAAGAACAAAACCGTCTTCTAAGACAGAAAAGAAGTCATAGAACAAGCAGCAGCAGCAGCAGCAGCAGCAATAATAAAGCAGAAGGCCTGAGTAACAATATTGCCAATGAAGGAAAAAGAATAGAATAGCAAGCTGAAAGCTGAGAATAACATCACTGGTAGTAACAACAGAATTGAAGTTAAGTCTGGTAAAGACGACAGCAAAACATTTGAAGAATAAAGAAAATAGTGAGTAAAGCCAGTTAACGGATGTGTTTTTTCCCTTCACCACATCGTCCTCAAAATATGAAAGAGCTGCCACACCAAAAAAAAACAAACAAAAAAACACTGCTATTTCTCGACCCCACCTCCCTTCTTTGTGGCAAACACCATATTCTCATCATTACTGATTTTATCATGAATACCAAGCACTCCCCAAAATACACACAACTCTTAAGGCCACTTCACAAAAGAAAAAGAAGGTTGTGGAGTCCATAAAGGAGGATTAATTTCAACAGAAAAAAATCAAGAAAACCTCTCTTTTTCAGTTTTATTTGAAAAAACAAAAGGAATATAAAAACATGACAAAGAAGTTTATGCCTGTCTGACGGTTATTCTCGTCCATTCTCGGCCGCAGCAAGGAAAAAAATTCCTCAAAATGTGTTAACATGACGGTGTTCTTTAGTTCTAAAATAAAAATTATAGAACATGCCATTAATTAACCACACCTTTTCACCACAGTAAGAAACGGTTCAGTGTGTGCGAAGCATCAAAGGTATATTGGAAAAGGTCAACCGGACGTTCAAGATGGTACTTCCATTGGCTGACTTCCTCCATCCATAACTCAGCAAACCCTCAATGTTGGGCAGAGGGTACCATATATATATATATATATATATATATATATATATATATATATATATATATATATATGGGGGGGTGTAAACATTTCAGATAGAATATATCTGTAAAAGGATAATATGAATACAGACAAAAGGTATGCGTCAAAGTGCTCAATATCAGGGATAGA